TTCCTAAGTAGCTAGTAGTAGACAATATTACTTACTTCCGAAAAAAATTTAAAAATTGACTTGAATTGTCCATTTCTGGCAATAATCCAACGAGTTTTGCTGATAAGTCGATAAGTATTGGCTTCTCCGACCGACAGTTGAATCTCGCCGGCTCTGACATTATTGAGTATTTTATGGTCAAAACCTTAGACCGCCATCAACGTAAACTATAGCTTTTGGTTGTTCAAGATTAAAATTATATAGCCTATTAGCGAAAGGAATGTCATGTCTTGCAATAAACTGCTCTCTATTTACTGCACCTGAACCGATATTTTCAGGAAACGTTGCTTCATTTTGCACAAAAATACCAATATATCTTTTTTGAAATATTTCTGGATCCAACAACGCCACAATAAGTAAAAAGGTTTTGAAACTGCTGCTTATCAACTGGTGACATTGAATTAAACTCTTCATCGCTGGAACTATTTCCTCTATAAAATTCCCACTTTTTATAATTATTAGCGGTTCTCAGTTCTTGCAAAAATGAGTACATCTGTGGATCTTTAATCTTGTATGGCATATTGATGAATTTCAAATCTTCCAATAAAGGACGCAGGAATCAGGATACATTCATCTTTATCCAAGTGTTGAAAGCAAGCTCTGGCACTTTCAGGTGCATGAATATTTTTGCATATAAAAATATTTACTCTACACTCTACATTTAAGTGATGGTCTTCGTACATTATTGGGATTATCATATACTAAACATGTAACGTTGGATGTTTGTTTTAAAACGTTCAGGCGCCAGCAAGTAGGATCAATGGCTAATATATGAAATTCTTCGAGAATTGAGCATTTGCAATTAATACAGAAACGACTTGCATCATTTCGTCGGTCCCATGACATAAGGTCCTATCTCGTAATTCACACGTTTCAGAGAAGAGCAATTGAAAGAAAATTAATATTTTCACGCCAACAGAATACAAAGAATTTTGGTCTCTTTTTTTGGAATTAGGAACAACAAACCATGTAAGTTTTTTGTCAAATAGGTACCACATTCCACATTTCAAAATAGTAATTAACATTTGTGTCAAAAATTTTGCGATACTTAGTTCAAATAAACAAACAACTTTTATAATATACAGGGTAATTGCAAAATGGCGAAAAAGAGCTCTCCACTTCGTTGTTAAGCCGCTTTTCAAGGAACCCCAGAAAAATGGTTAAAAAAATATACAGTTATTTACAAAGACGTTATTTGAAGACAACAGAGTACGGAGTGACAAAATTGGCAACATCTTAATAAATACTGGCACCTATAGTCACCTTATCCATTATTATTATATTACCTATAACTGGTACTACCTATAATCATTACTTTGCAGGTAATCGTAATACGCTGCGGGTCCTATTTGAATTGCACGGGCGCCTTATTTTCCTTGTAGCGGCGAAACCATCCAATTGACCCCCCCTATTTTTTTTTTGTAAAATCAAACAAAAGGGTAAGAGGTACAACATATCAAAAATTGAAGCAATTTCACCGAAACCACTTTAACACTTATCAGACAGATAACTTCCTTAACAGCCCAAATTTCGCCTGAAAACTTTATCAGACTGATATCTACTACTCAAGGTTGGTGAATACCGAATTTTATGTTAACAGTCTGACAAGCAGTTTATCAGACTGATAAGCAGTTAGCGGTCGTTGGTGAATACGGCCGTATCTAGTAAATTGTCCGTGGTCTGACAAGAATAACAGTACGGTTGATATTCAACTTGACATAGCTTGACAAGTGACATTGAAAAGTTTTTTGAAATTTTTATTGACAAATACATTGCACAACACGTGGTTTTTCTCCTCCCCTTTTTACCCCGTGCAAATAACAAGGACGGGTTGCTATACATAAGTCTAACATAATTTGGTATGTTTTGCCTCGTCTTGCGCAATGAGCATTCTGTATATTTTTTCATCTAATGAAGTTTTCGTATTATTACGTCTTTGGGCGCGTTTGGGTTCACGATCGGTGCACTCAGAGCTTGCAATTTTGTCTCTCTTCCGTTATTTTTGAAGCTCCGACAACGCTTGATTATGTTTGGTTTGATATATTTTGAGCGCTCCGAGCGAGCTCGATAAACTCCGAGTTTGTGGAGTGGGCAGCTAGAGCGTGCATGCGCAGATCCAGTGTTTAATCTGTCTGTATAACCTAACCTATTTTCCATGATTAGATAAATAAACAATCCTGAATTTTAACATTTTTATTTGTTAGCTGGATAGTTTTCGCTATTTTGTTTGAATGTTAACAATCAAATAGACAGTAAATTCTGCATAATTAATTGTTTACTTTTAATTACATTTTCTCGGTAGTCCTCATCACTGGTATTATTGAACCATATTTTTCTAAGGGAACTTGGCAGCCTCATAGTGTTTAGGTCCATTTTATTGTTTATGTAGCAATATATTTTTAGCAGAACACAAAAGATAATGGGACTGTTTGAAAATTATCGACTAAAATAAAAAACAATGAGAAAACTCTGGTGCAAATGCGGAATGCGGGCTCGGACTCCAAAAAATATATCCTAAAAGAATAATAAACAATAATCAGCTGATCGCTCAACTCAGCAATTTTGCACAAGTTTATTTGGCTTGAAACGGTGTACTCCCTGTGACGTCACGTTACTCCGTAATCGCTCTGCTCGCTCCGCCGAGCGTCAACGCAAACACGCCCTTTGTCTGGTATAATAGATAGGTCTATTAGAAGTTAACATTTTTTGGGGAGGATCGGTTCATTTTCATGTGCTTAATATTAAGTTTGCGACCTTTTACTTCCATAGGGTTTCTAGTTAGGGGTGGTTTTTAGGGGTAATTTGCGGTTTATGGAGAACGCTGCTCAAAGGGATGGTCCAATAGCAAAGAGTTTCAAATGATTGTTGTAGCTGAAGTTTTTTGCTATTAAAAACTCAGCGACAACACCCCTTTATCTTCTATAGTTTTTTTTCTGTAGCGTCTTGAATTAGCATGTTTCTGTTCAAGATCATTGAATCAACGTTTTGCCTGTTTACGCGCATTGGATGCAGCAGCGGCCGAATGCATAATCCGATTTCAATTTTTCAAACACCACATTATAGGGCCCCATACACTACGATGAAACACGACGGTTTTCACAGCCACGATGAAACACGTCGTTCTAAAACCAAAGTGTGTAATAGAAAAACACGACGGTTTTCTACAGGGCCCCACAGACTACGATAAAACACGACGGTTTTCATCGCCACGATGAAACACGTCGTTCCAAAACCGAAGTGTGTGGTAGAAAACCGTCGTGTTTCATCGTCGGTTTAAAATCCTTCCGACCTTGATTTTTGGCACGACGGTTTAACATTTCGTTCACACGAACGGTTTTCTACCACACACTTCGGTTTTGGAACGACGTGTTTCATCGTGGCGGTGAAAACCGTCGTGTTTCATCGTAGTGCATGGGGCCCTTAGAAAACCGTCGTGTTTTTCTATTACATAATTCGGTTTTAGAACGACGTGTTTCATCGTGGCGGTGAAAACCGTCGTGTTTCATCGTAGTGTATGGGGCCCTTATTGCTAATAAAATGCACTCTCTAATGCTTTTTTGTTCGAATTTTTTGCTTGAAAATTAAGCGAGCACGGAATGGCCTTATGTGCGAGGAAGTTATAAATTGCATCGAAAACTACCCCTTTCCCCTTTCTTGCATTCACTGTAATTTCTAAACGGGGCCAAATATTTGGTGACAGTTTTGGACAATCGGCAGCCCATTTATTCCTCTCATAATGCCCCAGCGGGTTTTTTTTCCTTCAATTACTCAATGACTTATTGGCCAGAACACGTTGCGCGGAATTTTTCGAAAAGTCAAAAAAAATTAAAATTGTCCCACAGCGCTGAAATTTGGTACCTACGATGTCTTTATTTAGTGTTCTCATGAATATACTGCAATTCTAATTGTTGCATCAGTCATCTGAAGCAATTAAAATTGCAGTATACTCATAAGAACAATAAATATTGTGCAGTATAAACTATCGATTTAAAACAAATTTGGAAAATTTTAGTTCACTTGCAAGCTCCCTATTGATGGTCAAAAAAATACAATAGGAGGCTCAAGGGGTTCGGTAATTGCAACTGCGAGCAAACTGAGCAAAATTTGACAGATCTCACGTGATTTTGACACGTGAAAAAAGATAACTGACGTCCGTCAAAATTTGCTCTTTTTGCTCGCAGATGCAATTACCAAACCCAGCCAGAATAGAAATAAACAAAAAATCCTGCTCCAGCTCCCGTCTCTCTCATCTTTAAAATTTGAAAATGATAATATCTAATAAATGTGAATCGTGCCAGATTTTCCAAAGTGGTGCCACTGTGCATTTTGCGGGCGAAAAGTGCTCACTTTTGGCACAATTGTGCCCTTGGAACAACACTGGACTAGATGTTTTTTTGGTGTTTCACTCGGGATCAAAAATACTATACCTACTTAAAGTTGAAGGGTACAGTTGTTGATGATGATAACTATTCAATTAGCAATTAGCTTTATCTAGTCAGGTAGGTTGCAGAACATTTGATCGACAAACAATGTTGCCGTTTGCGGGTATTTCACCCGAAATTCGGGTATTTTGATATTGCTTGTGGAGTGGGTAAAATATTGAAGAGGGTAAAATTGGGTATTTTGCAAATTCCTATCAACATTTCAAAGTTATCCAAAAACACAAGCCCCGCCTAATATTATATCAATAATATAATTAAATTCTTATTCATACGAATACGGTGACATATGAATTTTTCTAAGCGCCATCTCTTGTTCAATTTGAATTCAACTAATAACTTTTGATAAAAAGACGAACGCGAATGATTTTTTGTACAAGTTTCTTTTTTTTTCACTATTTTGACCATTGTGGGAAAAGCGGGTATTTTCTCATTTGTGATCGGGCATTTTCAAGTTATTAATGTGGCAACACTGTCGAGAAATATTATTGTTGAACTTTATACTGACTTGACTACGGCCATCGAGAATCGAGACGGCCATGAAAAGTAGAACGCGTTTTTTTCTAATAATGAATGTTTGATGATAAAGTAAAGTGAAAGCCAGAAACGCATAGGCAAATCTTCAATGTTCCACTGATAGACTTTACAATAAACAAAATTGCGTGTATCCAAAATATCGATTAGAGGATTAGCCTGTGTTAACCTTACTTTAAAAATAAACATTTGCGTAAAGCTCGGCGCTTCTGCTTTAACGAAATTAATTGCAATCGGGATCAAAGTTTCTACCTTAGAATGGCTAATAAAAGTGACATAACAAGTATCTTATCAATAGAAAATCCTCAATTTTCCACTTACTTAATTGTAGCATCGTTGTTGGTTTTAAAAATGTGTTTCTTAACGCTGCTCACTATTTTTCAAAGGCAAAAAAATAAGGTAAGAATATTAAAGATTTATTTCAGTCTTTAACAAAGGGTAGAAATCGATAGTTTTTGCTACATGGTTTTGGTTTCAGTAGAGTTTACACGCTCGAAAGTCGTCTAGAAAAGAATTCCGGCCGTTCATTGAAAGGTAAAAATGTCCCGAATATGTTGGGTCTTATTCGTCAGCGATATTGCTTGTACCCCCTGACTAGGGGGTGAAAGCTGAAAAAAATAAGACTTTATAAGAAAATTTAATATTCTATTCGACAGTGGAAAAAATATTCGACTTGGATAACTATTGAGCAAGTTATAAGGAAAATATAGGTCAAATTATCATTACACAAGCCGAGTTATTATTTATCAAATTAGCTGGTAGTGGGCCCGCGAAATACATGGCAATAATAACTCATGTCCTTTGGTAGTTATTCAGAGATGAAAGATTTTTTCATTTTAGCAAAAACTGAATTTCGCATATTCATGAAATTGCCAACTAATTTATTAGGTAAATATAACTTCGTTATGCAATGGTTATTTGGCTTGAAAATTACCTTATGACTTGCTTGATAGGTATTTATCGGAAGAGCATATTATTATCTTTCGGACTGATGAATGGGTTAAACCATTCATCAGTTACTGTGAGTACCCTTTCCAAATACCTACTATTTTTTTTCAGTTTTTACCTCCTGGGCACAGGAAGCAACCGGAGGGAGAAACCGATTTTGGATGAGGCGACACATCTATTTTGATAGGTGATTACTAGGTACCGTCCTTCTTAACCGTGTCAAATTGGTGTCAGGATCGGAAAATTAAAAAACATAAATTCAAATTGCGTTTTTATTTTTTTCTCAAGACTTTGAATGGGGTTACATTCATCTTTTAACAGATTATTGATTACTACCATTCTTATTAATATTGTGTCAAATTGGTTTCAAAATCGGTAGGTAGGTACTGATTTAGGGGTTGAAAATATGAAAAAATTAACTTCAATTTGCGTTTTTATTTTTTCTCCTAAATATTTTGGATGGGGTTACTTCATCTTCTGGCAGGTAACTACCTACCATCCTGGTACTGGTTTAAGGGTTAGAAATAGTACAGCGGATTAGCTAACCTATTGTGCACTGATAAAGGCACCAAATTTGCCACAGAGGTAGACTGATGTAATAGGAACAAATTTGGATGTGGAGCCATCGGCCAACTGCCCCCCGGCCGCATGGAGGTAAGTAACATCCTGTTTAGCATTCGGTTATCCGTTCGACAACGGTTCGGTTTTTGAAATGTAACACCCGTGGTTGCATGGACGTGCGCTTTATCGGGTGCTACTTACCCTCGTTATTAAGCCTGTTACCATCTTGTAAATAATTATTTTAGAGCATTGAAGTATCAAAACATGAGTATATAAGTGCAAAATATAATTATTATTGTTATATTAATATAAATTATACTCCGCGTTCGTAATTTCCATATCCTACAAATAAAAAATTTCCCCATATGTAGCGAACATTATGGGGGACACTGTATATGGATAATCCTCTGGCATAAAAACACTATTCATTTCTTAACTAATATAGAAAATATACTATGCAAATGCATGTCTTCCAGAAATTTTCTTGTCTGAACAAAATTCGGGCACCGACGCTACAGCAGCCAGCAGTGTAACAAGCAATGTTGTCAATTTGCCGAAATATATTATTCAGAGAACTTTTAATTTCCATTTGGTGTATAAAAACACAGAGTTGTGAGTTTCTTAACTTAAAAAATAAGTGAATAAATAACGAAAGTACTTTAATGGGCCAATTCTGTGCAATCTGTAAGCAATTCTATAAATTTCTATAAGCCTATAGCTGCCTAAAGACAATTTGTAAGTCTGCACTTCCTGTAGATTACAGAATATATTATAGGATCGTAAATATTTCCGATGAAGTTTTTGGCAATCAATGCGTTTTGCAGAGTCTATAGGCGTATAGAAATTTATAGAATTGTTTATAGATGTTCACAGAATTGACCCGTTAGTTTTATTTTTATCTAGTCTAGACGAATTAACCAGCGAATTAATAAAATACAGAAAGTTTGAAACATAAAAAGCTAATATTATATCTATACTATCTAATAAAGACATTAATTTTGAACATTATGTGGATGCAAATCTGTCCAGGGTAAGTAACACCCGATAGAGAAACTATCCGTTAATCCGTTGCGATATCAGGTGTTACATTCAAATTTGCGAACGTGAGCCAAATGGGTGTTACTTACCTCCATGCCCCCCGGCCGTGGCGGCGGTTTTCTAAAATGGCCGCCAGTGAACACTACTAAAGACAACAAAAGTTGGATAAAGTTTGCGGCTGAAGGTTCTAGTGAATTTTTATCGAATGTTTTGAATGAAAACATGCCAGATAATTATAAGTTATTGTATATACCGGGTGGCATCTAGACATTCCACTATACAGGGTGGAATTTTTTAATGGAATAAATTCGTTATCAGAAAGCCTGTTTATTTTCTGGAAAAATAAAAAAACACGGGTCCCTTTATTTTTAGTTTGGCACATTTTTTCGGCCTTTTCATGGAAATAATCCCTCTCTTAAGGGTAGAAACTACCCCCAACTTTTTTTTTTCAAATGTAAAGATATTTATTGTGATAGCTCATTGGAATGGGCATAAAAAAAGGAATATGACCCAGTATTTACTTTCGCCTTTTGGTGCAAGAAAAAAATAAACACAAATTTTTCCACACAATTTTTTTACAGTTAAAATTGTTGAATATCTTCAGCTTTTCTTCTTGGTAAAACCCTAATGCGAAATAAGTCCCATTTGTAACGTTATGTAATTATTTCTGACGTTAACACACTATTTGATGCCTGATACTCGGATTCTCAACCCTAAAATATTGTGTTATTGTCAAAAATAATTACATAACAAGACCACCGAAATGCAAAAGTAAATAATGGGTCATATTCCTTTTTTTATGCCCATTCCAACGAGCTATCACAATTCACAATACATATCTTTACATTTGAAAAAAAAAGTTGGGGGTGGTTTCTACCCTTAAGAGAGGGGTAAATTCCATGAAAAGGCCGAAAAAAGGGGCCAAACTAAATATAAAGGGACCCATGTTTTTTTATTTTTCCAGAAAATAAACACGCGTTCTGATAATGAATTTATTCCATTTAAAAATTCCACCCTGTATAATTCGGCACCCGTCTCTAAGGCGATTGGCTGATTTAAATAATATTTTGATATGAGGCCAAAACGCATAGTGGAATATGTGAGCAGTGCTCAAATCATGAGTGGAATGTTCATACTCATTATGCATAAGTGCAACAACAGAAGTGCTGAACCACGTGATAGAATGTCGGGACGGTGCCCAAAACGAGAGTGCAATGCCCTATGATTATTTTTTCGCTACGCATGGGGCTTATTACGGGAATGTAGAAGTTCTTCAAATAAGTAGGTTTTTTGTTTTTGAGGTGCTTCAATTAAAAACCAATAATTAGGTATATAATATTATTGTAGTTCATTTTAGAAAATATGTAATTTATACATAGTACGAACACACATAATACTATAAACAGTTCCTAAAAATTTTTGATTTTGATTAACTTTCAATAATAATCAAGAAAATGCAGTCTTACTCATACTAGCCCGTCGGCCTAGGGCCTAGGCCGACCTAGTCCTCGTAATTTACCATTTTATTTAAAAAAACGGAGTAAATCTAGTTATAGCGTAGCGTCCCTTGAGCGCGCTTTGTTTTTCAAATAAAATGCTAACTTTTACGAGGACCTAGATCGCACTATGCGGACGGGTTAGTTTGGGTTAGTTTGAGTAAGTCTGCATTTTCTTGATTATCATTGATTCAATTTCATGTGTCGCTGTTTTGTTTAGAGGTCGCCGAGGTCGCCGTTTTAAATGTCGCTCTATTAATATGTCGCAATGTTAAATGTCATTTTTTTTCTCACATATTGTGACTTTTGATATATCGCTCTTTTGCAATGTCGCTGTTTTGAAGATCGCGCTTTTGAATGTCTCTCTTTTGATATGTCGCGGTTTTTTTTAGATGTCGCTGTTTTGAATGTCGTTATTTTATTATGTCGCTGTTTTGAATGTCGCTATTTTGATATATCGCTTTAACAATACGTCGCGTTTTTGATGTCGATTTCAAATATTGCCCTTTTGAACCGGAGTCGCGATAAAGAAATCAACATAACATAACTTCCAATCAATTCTACATTCCACATCGCGATTCAGCACCGTTCGCACAATCCACTATCATATTGAGCAGCACGTATTGGCAGCATGCAGCTTGAAATAATTCAACTGAAGCATATGACATTGCTCTCTCGTTTTGGGCACCGTTCTAACAATCTACTACGTAATTCCGCACCTTCTATGGTTGCACTCAAAATTGACCAATCAAAATTGAGGCGGGTGCCGAAATCTATAGTGGAATGGCTAAATGCTACCGAGTGTCCCACCGAAAACTGTCAATGGCGTATATCTCAAAAACGATAATTGATGAAAAAAAAAAAGAAAAACCCGTTTGGAGGGTTGGAAGCGGGAACCAAAAAAAGGTACTTTTTAGCTCTCACCGAACCACCCCTCCGGCTTTAGCCACCCTGAACTCAAAATCTTAAATGGCACTATAGGTCATGTGATGCCGAATGTGATACCTTGTTTGAAAGGTCTGTTAATAGGGTAGTGGACAAGGTATAATTTCAATGAAATCGATGATCTATTCTTCATCTATGGAGTAAATAAAAAATATTCGTATCAAATGAAATTTCAGATAAAATTACTAACCTTGTTTAAAACGGCGGTAAAAGTAGAGTTTTGGGACGCACTATTTGAACGGAAATATTTCGCGCCCTGATTCTACGTCATAGCTGTTGTATTTAAGTATGAATTAAATAAAACCTACGTTCGATATTCGACACAAACTTACTCTTTAGTGCAAAAAAGAGAGATATATCAGCGTCTCTTGGGTATTATTACATTTAGGCGCACCCTCAACATAACCCCAC